GGGAGAGAGAGAGAGAGAGAGAGAGAGAGAGAGAGAGAGAGAGGGAAAAAGTTTGGTAAATAAACATCCAAAAAACTGAAGAAGAAACTGGAAATAGAATATTCCTAAATGGGCAAAAAAAAACATCTTAGTTTGTGAGAGAGAAAAATGTCAAAGAAAAAAATACAGAAATAATCCGATATATATAGAATATGGATACAGGATAACCACCGTTTATCAGTATAGGTAGAAAATTTAGAAAAAAACAACAAAAAGAAAACCCGGATCTAATTAAAGAGTCTCTCTTTCAGAGATCAAAGTATATACTTCACTGCACACCAGAAAGTTTTTTTTCTATTTATTTATCGTCCAGTGAATTGTCAATCTGATTAATTAATCAGATTGATTGATTGATTGATTGAATTATAAAGATAAAAAAAACACAGAAGCACAGCACACAAACACACGAACACACCAAAACAGCAAGAAGGTAGAACTAAAACATCAAGATTGATTGAAAACATGATGTACATTTCATTTCATTTCAAGAATGATGATGATCGACTGTAATGATGTTTTTGTCGTTGAAGAAATTCAGAAAACTTTTCTTTTGTCAAAAAAAAATCCATAAAAAACAAACAAAACAAAAGTTTTTGATGAGTTTTTGGTGTGTGTGTGTAGGTGGATTATGTGGATGATGATCATCAGGTATTTTTTGCAAAGAAAATAGTTGCAATAAGAAGTGTGTGTGTGTGCGATAATCATATGACAATTAAACAAAAGATTTTCTGCTGTTGTTTTTCTCGACAAAAAGAAATTATCCTTAATGATGATGATGATGATAAGAGAGAGAAATGGAGATGAAAACAAAGTTGGATGGATAATCGTGGATTATTGAAAGGCAGAAAGAAAATGCAAATTTCGAAAAAGTTTCTGTCTTTTTTTCGGAAATTCTGTACAGAATTCGATTGAAAATTGATTGATTGATTGAACAGATCAATAAAAACTTATTTTTGTTAGGAAGAAAAAAAGCAAGAGAGAGAGAGAGAGAGAGAGAGAGAGAAAAAAAACAACCACATAAACACCACCACCAAACAGCAGCAACCATATATAAAATGCAGAAGCAAACTAATCAAACAACCAGAAAAAAACCCAATAAAGAAAGAATGAAAGTCAAACCATAATGATGATGTAATTTCAAAAGAATGAATAAAAAATTCAATAATTTTTTTTTCTTCTTCTTTTTTCAACTACTAAATTATCCTTTATCATCATCAAACCAAACAAAAACAAAAACAAAACAACCTAGCCACCACCATGGCTACATGATGATGGTTTTTCTGGTTTAATTCGGTTGTGTGTTTATGTTGAAGTTTTGTTTCTCTTCACATATGTTTATTGATTGGATTCATTCAAAAAATTTTTGCTGTTGTTGTTGGTTTTTTCATTTGCAAATTGTCAATTTGTTCATGTTTCCATTTTTGTTTTCCCCCTTTCTGTTGATTGTGTGTGTGAAATACTGTCACATTTTTGTTTGTTTGTGGTTGTTCGGAAAATTGCTTAGCAATTTTCCCGATCGATAATGATTATCATCATTAAACCACCGTGAAAGAGAGAAAAGCATTACGGTGTTGTTTATATTCGAAAAAAGCTTAATCCAAACACAGGGAGTGAGAGAGAGAGAGAGAGGGAAGCTAAATCCAGAAAAAAATTAATCCAAAAATTAACAGTTTTTTTTCTTGTTTTCGCTGATGCTACTACTTTGATTTTTGCAACTACTACCTGACTAACTACCACTACCACTAATTTTTTTTAAACAAAAAAAATTATTTTCAAAATAGATCAGGTGTGAGAATAATCAAACAAAAAAAGTAAGGTAAAAAAATCCACCTAAAAAGTATACCTTTTTTTATTGCAATCAATTTATCCACCTTCGCACACACACAAACAAACAATAAAAGTGTCTGTGTATGTTGTGATTACCTTATATATTTTTCTTCTTTGATGAAAATCATCATTATTATCTAAATCCACAAACAACAACAAAAGAAAACTTTGAAACAGTTTTTTTTATATTCTTGGGAACATGATTATCATCATCATCATTATTATAATGGGAAACAACAACAACAACAGGGAGAAACAGAATATATCCAAAATATTCTGTATAAAGGAATATTCTGTAGAAATCAACAACAATAATAACGAGATAATGGCCATCCGATTTATTCTTGTGTTTGTTTTTTTTCATTAGAAGTAATAAA